GGCTCCGAGGCCCGGCCGGGGAGCGAGGCGGGCGCGCTCCTCGTTGGCGAGCCCACGGGGCCCGTGTACACAGCTGGGCTGCGGGGCGGCCTGACGCCCGAGGAGGCAGCGCGGCTGCGGGCGTTGGGCGCCGAGGTACGCACCACTGGCCGCGGCGGCCTGGCCACTTTCCACGGCCCAGGCCAGCTCCTCTGCCACCCGGTGCTCGATTTGAGGCGCTTCGGCCTGCGCCTGCGCACTCACGTGGCGACGCTGGAGGCGTGCGCCGTGCGCCTGTGCGAGCTCCAGGGCCTGCCGGCTGCGCGCGCACGGCCTCCGCCCTACACCGGCGTCTGGCTGCGTGACTTTAAGATCTGCGCGATAGGTGAGCACCCTGGGGGCGGGGCCGAGAGCCGGACCAATGGAGGCCGAGGGCGGGTGTTGGCGGGGCGGGAGATGTAACTGGCGCGCGCTTTGAATTCGAGTTACTGGGTTATTATGCCTTGAGCTGCTAATCACAAGATCGAGCCCACCAGCCGCTCCGAAAGAGAAAGATAAGGTTTTCTACTCCCCCAAAGTGTGACCGTTTCAGAAACGCACAAGGGCAGTTGTAGTCTGTATTATAGGGTCACTCTGAGAGTCAGAATCGACTGGATGACAGTGTGTTTTTAAAACGTATTTAGAGCCAGAGGGCCTTCAGAGCACATTAAATCCAACATTCATTTTTACAGATAAAGGGTCATACGGGTGACTTGGCCATTGACTTTACATGAGTCAGAATGGTAGTTCTTATACTTGTTTTTTAAGAGCAACACACTGTATTAAGGAACATTTCTTGGAAACCCCTATTATATGAGTACGTATGTATAGTTTCTTGGAGCTGACCTCCGCTGCTTCCTTTCCCAAGCTGTACAACCCTTCAGGTGATCTAGAACATTCCCCTCACGGAGCTAAGGAGGATCCTGAGACGGGGAGAGGAGGGACTCTGCTGAACTCTATGCTTGCCTTGCAGGAGTCCGCTGTGGAAGGCACATCACATCCCATGGCCTGGCCCTGAACTGCTCTACAGACCTGACGTGGTTTGAGCACATTGTCCCCTGTGGACTGGTGGGCACCGGGGTCACTTCCCTGAGTAAGGAACTCCAGAGACATGTCTCTGTGGATGAAGTCATGCCACTTTTCCTGGAAGCCTTTAAGGAGACCTTCAAGTGCACACTGACAGCAGAGGACAACTTCACCTAACAGCCCTGCGAATCACAAGACCCGATCCTAGACTGAGTCCTGCCACTCACTGGTCATGAGATAGTGCAGGTCATGAGTTCTGAGCCAGTGCTGCTTGCTGTACTCAAGTTTATTTATTTCTTCCCCACCTACTCCAGAGATACTAGGTATGAAAACCCTATTAAAAAGGCATCACACATACCCTGTTTCCCCGAAAGTAAGACATCCCCTGAAAATAAGACCTACTTACAGTTTTGCTGCTCCCTGAAATATAAGGCA